ATTTTTAAAATTCTCCATGAGATTTTAAATGTTCCTATAGTTGGATATTTTTAAAATTCTCCATGAGATTTTAAAATGTTCCTATAGTTGGATATTTTTAAAATTCTCCATGAGATTTTAAAATGTTCCTATAGTTGGATATTTTTAAAATTCTCCATGAGATTTTAAATGTTCCTATAGTTGGATATTTTTAAAATTCTCCATGAGATTTTAAAATGTTCCTATAGTTGGATATTTTTAAAACTTAATCGAGGTCCTCATTCCTGAGCTGTTGTTGGGTTAGTCTCAAGGTCATCTTTAGGTCAAGGTGTTGGGTTAGTCTCAAGGTCATCTGTAGGTCCAGGTGTTGGGTGAGTATCAAGGTCATCTGTAAGTCAAGGTGTTGGGTTAGTCTCAAGGTCATATGTAGGTCCAGGTGTTGGGTGAGTCTCAAGGTCATCTGTAGGTCAAGGTGTTGGGTTAGTCACAAGGTCATATGTAGGTCCAGGTGTTGGGTGAGTATCAAGGTCATCTGTAAGTCAAGGTGTTGGGTTAGTCTCAAGGTCATATGTAGGTCCAGGTGTTGGGTGAGTCTCAAGGTCATCTGTAGGTCAAGGTGTTGGGTTAGTCACAAGGTCCTCTGTCCTGTAAGTCAAGGTGTTGGGTTAGTCTCAAGGTCATCTGTAGGTACAGGTGTTGGGTGAGTCTCAAGGTCGCGTCTTCAAGACTTTGGGATTAGTGAGCCTCTAGCACTTTGTTATGTGCCTGCCTGTTTGTACTGGTTGGCGGGTTGCGTGGGGTGGTTAGCGGGTTGTGTAGGGTGGTTGGGGGGTTGCGTGGGGTGGTTGGGGGGTTGTGTAGGGTGGTTGGAAGGTTGTGTAGGGTGGTTGGGGGGTTGCGTGGGGTGGTTGGGGGGTTGCGTGGGGTGGTTGGGGGGTTGCGTGGGGTGGTTGGCGGGTTGCGTAGGGTGGTTGGAAGGTTGTGTAGGGTGGTTGGAAGGTTGTGTAGGGTGGTTGGAAGGTTGTGTAGGGTGGTTGGAAGGTTGCGTAGGGTGGTTGAAAGGTTGTGTAGGGTGGTTGGAAGGTTGTGTAGGGTGTTTAGCGGGTTGTGTAGGGTGGTTGGAAGGTTGTGTAGGGTGGTTGGAAGGTTGTGTAGGGTGGTTGGAAGGTTGTGTAGGGTGGTTGGAAGGTTGTGTAGGGTGGTTTGGCGGGTTGCGTAGGGTGGTTGGAAGGTTGTGTAGGGTGGTTGGCGGGTTGCGTAGGGTGGTTGGAAGGTTGTGTAGGGTGGTTGGAAGGTTGTGTAGGGTGGTTGGAAGGTTGTGTAGGGTGGTTAGCGGGTTGCGTAGGGTGGTTGGAAGGTTGTGTAGGGTGGTTGGAAGGTTGTGTAGGGTGGTTGGAAGGTTGTGTAGGGTGGTTGGCGGGTTGCGTAGGGTAGTTGGAAGGTTGTGTAGGGTGGTTGGAAGGTTGTGTAGGGTGGTTGGAAGGTTGTGTAGGGTGGTTGGAAGGTTGTGTAGGGTGGTTGGAAGGTTGTGTAGGGTGGTTGGAAGGTTGTGTAGGGTGGTTGGCGGGTTGCGTAGGGTGGTTGGAAGGTTGTGTAGGGTGGTTGGAAGGTTGTGTAGGGTGGTTGGAAGGTTGTGTAGGGTGCTTGGAAGGTTGTGTAGGGTGGTTGGAAGGTTGTGTAGGGTGGTTGCCGGTTTGCGTAGGGTAGTTGGAAGGTTGTGTAGGGTGGTTGGAAGGTTGTGTAGGGTGGTTGGAAGGTTGCGTAGGGTGGTTGGAAGGTTGTGTAGGGTGGTTGGAAGGTTGTGTAGGGTGGTTGGAAGGTTGTGTAGGGTGGTTGGAAGGTTGTGTAGGGTGGTTGGAAGGTTGTGTAGGGTGGTTGGAAGGTTGTGTAGGGTGGTTGGAAGGTTGTGTAGGGTGGTTGGAAGGTTGCGTAGGGTGGTTGGAAGGTTGTGTAGGGTGGTTGGAAGGTTGTGTAGGGTAGTTGGAAGGTTGTGTAGGGTGGTTGGCGGGTTGCGTAGGGTGGTTGGAAGGTTGTGTAGGGTGGTTGGAAGGTTGTGTAGGGTGGTTGGAAGGTTGTGTAGGGTGGTTAGCGGGTTGCGTAGGGTGGTTGGAAGGTTGTGTAGGGTGGTTGGAAGGTTGTGTAGGGTGGTTGGAAGGTTGTGTAGGGTGGTTGGAAGGTTGTGTAGGGTGGTTGGAAGGTTGTGTAGGGTGGTTGGAAGGTTGTGTAGGGTGGTTGGAAGGTTGTGTAGGGTGGTTTGGCGGGTTGCGTAGGGTGGTTGGAAGGTTGTGTAGGGTGGTTGGAAGGTTGTGTAGGGTGGTTGGAAGGTTGTGTAGGGTGGTTAGCGGGTTGCGTAGGGTGGTTGGAAGGTTGTGTAGGGTGGTTGGAAGGTTGTGTAGGGTGGTTGGAAGGTTGTGTAGGGTGGTTGGCGGGTTGCGTATGGTGGTTGGAAGGTTGTGTAGGGTGGTTGGAAGGTTGTGTAGGGTGCTTGGAAGGTTGTGTAGGGTGGTTGGAAGGTTGTGTAGGGTGGTTGCCGGTTTGCGTAGGGTAGTTGGAAGGTTGTGTAGGGTGGTTGGAAGGTTGTGTAGGGTGGTTGGAAGGTTGTGTAGGGTGGTTGGAAGGTTGTGTAGGGTAGTTGGCGGGTTGCGTAGGGTGGTTGGAAGGTTGTGTAGGGTGGTTGCCGGTTTGCGTAGGGTGGTTGGAAGGTTGTGTAGGGTGGTTGGAAGGTTGTGTAGGGTGGTTGGAAGGTTGCGTAGGGTGGTTGAAAGGTTGCGTAGGGTGGTTGCCGGTTTGCGTAGGGTGGTTGGCGGGTTGCTTAGGGTGGTTGGCAGGTTTTCCTCAGATCGTTAGAGTAGAACAACTTTGTCACAAACATAGCACTGGGAGGGGGAGGGGGAGTGGGGTCAGTCGTTAAGTGAAATGCTCCAAATCTTGATGGCTCCGCCAGTGAGGAAATGAAACGTGTTTTGCTGATATTTGATGTGCGGTTGGTGTGTGTGGAGTGTGGGTGTGTGGTGGGTGTAGTGTGGGTGTGTGGTGGGTGTAGTGTGGGTGTGTGGTGGATGTAGGGTTATTATTATTATTATGTAGCACGAGCCTATTCAGTTTTTATCGTGTTTAAAAATACAAACTTGGAATCAACGTGTGAAAAGACAGTTTACGATTCGCTGTCCGGAACACATCGCTACAACAGTTCAATACGATTCGCTGTCCGGAACGCTGTTCCGACAACGTTTATCGTTTCTAAAAAAAATTCCCGATTACGTTTTTCGTTTGTGTCTTTTTCTGCGACGTTTTCATTCCTAGCACAAACTGTGACTTTTATCGGTTTTTTATTTATATGTGACATTTTGTTGTATGTTGGACATTGTATTATATGTTGGACATTTTGTTGTATGGTGGACATTGTATTATATGTTGGACATTTTGTTGTATGTTGGACATTTTGTTGTATGTTGAACATTGTATTATATGTTGGACATTTTGTTGTATGTTGAACATTTTGTTGTATGTTGGACATTTTGTTGTATGTTGGACATTTTGTTGTATGTTGAACATTGTATTATATGTTGGACATTTTGTTGTATGGTGGATATTTTGTTGTATGTTGGACATTTTGTTGTATGTTGGACATGTTGTATGTTGGACATTTTGTTGTATGTTGAACATTGTATTATATGTTGGACATTTTGTTGTATGGTGGATATTTTGTTGTATGTTGGACATTTTGTTGTATGTTGGACATTTTGTTGTATGTTGAACATTGTATTATATGTTGGACATTTTGTTGTATGGTGGATATTTTGTTGTATGTTGGACATTTTGTTGTATGTTGGACATGTTGTATGTTGGACATTTTGTTGTATGTTGGACATTTTGTTGTATGTTGGACATTTTGTTGTATGTTGGACATTTTGTTGTAAGTTGGACATTTTGTTGTATGTTGGACATTTTGTTGTATGTTGGACATGTTGTATGTTCGACATTTTGTTGTATGTTGGACATTTTGTTGTATGTTGGACATTTTGTTGTGTGTTGGACATGTTGTATGTTGGACATTTTGTTGTATGCTGGACATTTTGTTGTATGTTGGACATTTTGTTGTATGCGATGTTTAACGAGCCTAAAATAAAACGCCCGATCAACAAGAGGCGAATGTCAATTAATTTTTGATTGGCCTCCAATCAAAAAGCCACCAATCAAAAACGTCGTCTTATCCCCAGCCCACCACACCACGTCATTTGGATTAGAGCCATTGATTTGTAGCGAGACTGGATTTGGCCTGGAAGCGTCAAAAGTTTCATGAATAAATTACCAAAAATAACTCGGAAGTTTATAAGACAATTTGAGCAGAAAATGTAAAACAACTTTTTCAATTTTTAGTACAGCCAATCGTTCCTCTAAAATAAATCACTTCTCTGGTCTATAGCAGATCGAACGGGGGTGGGGGGGCTGTATGTAGATAGCGCAAGAACAAATAGTGTTACAAATGAACCGGTCGTTGACTGACACGAAGCTTCGAGTGGTAGATCAAGGAATGTCTTTAATTTCTTCCCTTTCCTGTATGTTGACTGGGTTAGTTCCCCTGCTTGAGCAATGTCCCCAACCAGATCCCGTCAACCCTCGGCGCTGTCTCAACAATAGCAAGACGGGGTTAGCGTAGCTCGCCTAACCTTGTTTGTTAACGCACACGAGATTTGCCGGGCTTCAATTAAAGCTGGCCCAGGGGAGGCCAATTGTTTGCAGTGCGCCCACCCCCCCCCCCCCTCCTCCATCGTGTTATAGATTGATTTTATTTAAATAGTGACGTCATTAGTATCTACAGTGGTTTTGTTTCTAGGTTCATCTGCCTGTTTGTCTGTCTCTCTGTCTGTCGTTCTGTCACCACCAATGTCTGTCTGTCACCAATGTCTGTCTGTCACCACCAATTTCTGTCTGTCACCACCAATTTCTGTCTGTCACCACCAATTTCTGTCTGTCACCACCAATTTCTGTCTGTCAACACCAATGTCTGTCTGATGCAGCCAAGCAGCTTGTGGACTACATCAGCGAATATCTCCAAACGATCCGGCAGCGTCGTGTTTTCCCGGACGTCAAGCCGGGCTACATGCAGCAGCTGGTGCCAGACACAGCTCCCGACTTGCCGGAGAGCTGGGAGGACATCTTTAATGACATAGAACGCGTCATTATGCCTGGGGTACGTCCAGCGTCATTGGTTTATTTTTAGCGCGCTGTGAAGGACGGAGAGGTTCCAAATATTTGATTGACAGAATTGATTGACAGATTTATTGACAGATTTGATTGACAAACAACAACTTGACTTTGTCCTACAAGTACTTGACTTGACCTACTTCCACAGATCACACACTGGCAGAGCCCCTACATGCACGCCTATTTCCCCGCCTTGACCTCATTCCCCTCCCTGCTAGGCGACATGTTGGCTAATGCCATCAGCAGCCTCGGTTTCACTTGGGTAAGTGGTCAGCTTTAGATGTGGTCAGCTTTAGATGTGGTCAGCTTTAGATGTGGTCAGCTTTAGATGTGGTCAGCTTTAGATGTGGTCAGCTTTAGATGGGTAAGTGGTCAGCTTTAGATGTTTAAGTGGTCAGCTTTAGATGTGGTCAGCTTTAGATGTGGTCAGCTTTAGATGTGGTCAGCTTTAGATGGGTAAGTGGTCAGCTTTAGATGTTTAAGTGGTCAGCTTTAGATGTGGTCAGCTTTAGATGGGTAAGTGGTCAGCTTTAGATGTGGTCAGCTTTAGATTTGGTCAGCTTTAGATGTGGTCAGCTTTAGATGGGTAAGTGGTCAGCTTTAGATGGGTAAGTCGTCAGCTTTAGATGGGTAAGTGGTCAGCTTTAGATGTGGTCAGCTTTAGATGGGTAAGTGGTCAGCTTTAGATGGGTAAGTGGTCAGCTTTAGATGTGGTCAGCTGTAGATTTGGTCAGCTTTAGATGTGGTCAGCTTTAGATGTGGTCAGCTTTAGATGGGTAAGTTGTCAGCTTTAGATGTGGTCAGCTTTAGATGGGTAAGTGGTCAGCTTTAGATGTGGTAAGTGGTCAGCTTTAGATGTGGTCAGCTTTAGATTTGGTCAGCTTTAGATGTGGTCAGCTTTAGATGTGGTCAGCTTTAGATGGGTAAGTGGTCAGCTTTAGATGGGTAAGTGGTTAGCTTTAGATGGGTAAGTGGTCAGCTTTAGATATGGTCAGCTTTAGATGGGTAAGTGGTCAGCTTTAGATAGGTAAGCGGTCAGCTTTAGATGGGTAAGTGGTCAGCTTGACGACCATGCCCAGCTTCCACCAATGAGCTTTGAATGTTGCAGGCGTCAAGTCCCGCCTGTACTGAGCTAGAGACAATCGTCATGGACTGGCTGGGGAAGATGATTGGACTGCCCGCGTGTTTCCTGCACTCACATCAGAACCACAAGGGGATGGGAGGGGGGTGTATACAGGTGAGTTATCTTTATGGGAGGTTATGTTCAGGTGAGTTACCTTTATGGGAGGGGTTGTATTCAGGTGAGTTACCTTTATGGGAGGGGTTGTATTCAGGTGAGTTACCTTTATGGGAGGTTATATTCAGATGAGTTACCTTTATGGGAGTTTATACTCAGGTGAGTTACCTTTATGGGAGGGGTTGTATTCAGGTGAGTTACCTTTATGGGAGGTTTTATACAGGTGAGTTACCTTTATGGGAGGAGGTTTTATACAGGTGAGTTATCTTTATGGGAGGTTATATTCAAATGAGTTACCTTTATGGGAGGTTATACTCAGGTGAGTTACCTTTATGGGAGGAGGTTTTATACAGGTGAGTTATCTTTATGGGAGGTTTTATACAGGTGAGTTACCTTTATGGGAGGAGGTTTTATACAGGTGAGTTATCTTTATGGGAGGTTTTATACAGGTGAGTTACCTTTATGGGAGGAGGTTTTATACAGGTGAGTTACCTTTATGGGAGGAGGTTTTATACAGGTGAGTTATCTTTATGGGAGGTTATATTCAGATGAGTTACCTTTATGGGAGGTTATATTCAGGTGAGTTACCTTTATGGGAGGAGGTTATATTCAGGTGAGTTACCTTTATGGGAGGAGGTTTTATACAGGTGAGTTACCTTTATCGGAGGTTATATTCAGATGAGTTACCTTTATGGGAGGTTATATTCAGGTGAGTTACCTTTATAGGAGGAGTTCGTATACAGTGCACACAGTTCGTATACAGTGCACACAGTTCGTATACAGTGCACACAGTTCGTATACAGTACACACAGTTCGTATACAGTGCATACAGTGTGTAAGCGCGGTATGACGTCTTACAGACGACAGCCAGTGACTGCACGTTCGTGACCTTGCTGGCCGCACGGACCGAGGCCATCAGACGCTACAAGGACGTGGAGCCAGACCTGGACGACGCTGAGATCAATGGACGTCTCATCGGCTACTGCTCTGATCAGGTGATGACCCCCAATACAGTCATCGAGATATACACACATACACATACATACATACATACATACACATACACACACACTCAA